CTGGCATCTTTTTTCTACAAATTATGATCCATATATACCCTACATATATATATATATGTGTCAAGTCAAATTCATTTTAGAGCCAGTTGCCAAGGGTAAGGACGCAAATTTCTTTAAATTTTCATTGAGTTTTTCTTTAATTTTCTTTCACTTTTCAGCAAAGCAACACAAATTTGATATTTTTGACTTTGGCATTGACGCGACATCTGTCGATCGAAATAAAGATCTTATATTTTTTGTTTTGGCAAGTCAAATTGAAATTGAAATTGAAATTGAAATCTTTTGTGCCACAAGTTAAACCAGACGAAGGCCATAAAAACAAAAGCAAACAACAAAAGTGTTAACAAAGGTCGTTAAAAGATATTTGAGGCACTCTAATGAAGACCAGACATTGGGTTTATTATTTTTATAATAATTTCTATATTTAGCATTCATATTTTACATAGCAAAATATCTTATAATAAATATTTCTTGTCTCTAAAGCTTTAAAGCTCTAAAAATATGTATAAATATATCAATTTATCAGAGTAATATATTTATCATTGCAAATCGATTACAATATCATTCCACATAGTATCATAGTATCTATATTTGTTATCGTATATATTTTGATAGATATTCTTTGATAGATCTTTTTATACTTGCATGTTATTCCCATAATAATGCACATTTTGATTGATTTAGCTTTTCCTATCAAATACATAGATAGATCGGTAATATGTATAAGTATATGTGCATACACAATTCAATAATGTGACACATTTTTCTTTAAGTATATTTAATTACCCATTTTTATGCTCAGTCTCAGTCCCAAACTGGATTATTCAGTCATTCACTCATACACTCATACTCATTCACTCATTCACTTATGCGCAACTCTCAGCGAATTGGGTTAGCCGACGACCCACTTTCAGGGCGACACAAAGAGGGGCGGAGGGGGAGGGGGAAAAGTGTGTGTGTGGCGGACTTATACAACTTGAAGTTCGCAATTTGACTAAAAATGAAGCCGGCACGTCGCCCGCAACGCACTTCTCACTTTCAAATTATATAACAATCGCAATATAAACGCCCACAATCAGTGCGAAATAAAGTAAAAAACAAATATCTTCGTTAGGTGGAGAAGAAGTGAAGATAAAAAGTTGTCTGCGGCAACCACTAAGCCACTGCACCACAAAACGTGACTCGCAAACACTTTTAGTTTTATGTCTCAACAAGTTTGAGCGATTGACTGACTGATTGACTGACTGAGAGACTAACACAAGCCGCTGACGAGCAATTAACAAGCGTTATAAAAATTATAAAACAATAAAAATATTATTTATATTTGTTCGTTTCTGTTTCTGTGTCGGTTTCTGTTTCGTTTTCTGTTTGCCCCGTAGCATTTGCCCATAAATTAAAATGTGATTTCCTCTGTTTCCACATTTTAATCTATTTTCAAGCATTAAAATTTATTTCTTTTTTATGGCTAATGCATTTCTCTGTAGATCTATTAAAAGCAGGATAAAGTGAATAAATACAACTATAGATATATACACTTTATATAGATATTATAAGGGATATAAATTCATATAGAAAGTATCTTTTGCTTAGCTAATGTTGGAATGTTGGGCTATATGAAGTCATGTTTTCAGTCTGAAGAACATGTCAAGAAGACCCTGTACGAGATCCCTAAATAAATATCGCTGTATTTTATATCGCTGTATTTTACTCTTTTAAATACCCTGTAATATACACTGTACAAGTGCTCCACGGCTTAACCCTGTTATCTCATTTTCTTCCTCTCTATCTATAGCTCCACTGCTTCCCCTTCTCAATCTCACGTTTCTCTCTCATAATTCCGTAGCTAATCTGATGTTTGCACTTTGCAAAATCTTTTTGTCCAGCTCTCTCTCATAGCTTAACGCACTGTAAGTGATCTCTACAGCTTAAGCTGATTCATAAATAGATCTAAGATATAGTTTTATTATGATTATATATAAATGAATACCCTGTAAATTATATCTACCCTGTAAATGATCATTGTTTGAATTAAATGTTTTTATTTCGAAGAACATGTCATTAAAACGTAATATCTCCACACTCTCGTTCTCTGTCTCCCTCATTCTCTCACCTTTGCGAAAACAAACTCAACTGTTTAATTTTTTAATTACGGCCTTTTGATGTTGTTTGCGCTGGCAAACGAAACAAGGCGAAGAGTGCGCTCAAAAATGCGCACATAAGCACGTTAGCGAAAGAGCGAGAAAGAAAGAGAGAATATGAAAGGCAATCTACCATGACAATTCACGAAGGTTAAATTCTTGTAAAATGATTTCAACTGCAACTGCACCAAATGAATTTGCATTCACATATGTGTGAATGCATTCATTCAGTATTCATGAATATTCACTTTGGCTTTAATTAAAAAATATTTATTTCAACGAATGTTTTTACATTCAGTTTCAAACAGATCATCAAGAGCAGGGGCGTAGGGTCTGAGAGGGCGTGGCTATGAAGTAAATCAGTTGGTCATTCATCGCCAGCATAAATACGAAACTAATGAGCGCTATTTCTGCTCTCATTAGGGGCATTCCCACTCACTCACTCTCACCCTACGATTTAATTTATGACTTGATTTGTAGTTGAGAAGGAAGCTGAATCTTCCTGCTTCTCCTTCTACTTTTTTATTGCAATTTTATGTGCGGCCCGCAGCTGACGTCACTTTCTATCTAATTAATTGCACCCAAGCTGATAAAAATACGCATTCACTGCGAAGTGGACAAAGCAAACCATTCATATTTACCAAGCATTTCCTTATTTCCCACTTCTCCATTTTCTATCTGCAGTCCAAGTAGCCTCTGCTCTCTACGAGAGCATAACACTTGTTCACGAGCAGCTCGAATGACGACGTTATATATGAATTCTTATCATGAATTCTACTCAACACTCTGAATCATCGCGCAACAAAACAAAGTTCAAATGAAACGCGCTGAGTCTTATCAGCGAATCGATCAATAGGTTTTAAGGTATAGCCCTAAATAGAGAATGATTAATGATATGCGACAGATATTTGAGAGAGAACGGGTTCATTCAACTCAAATCCATGTGAGCTGAGTTGAATTGGATATAAAAATATAAAGAGAGATCAGCGTATACTGAGTAAAGGAAAAATCGAGGTAGAGAACTAAAATATTTTGAAAATATTTAATGACAATTTAATAATAATAATAATATTTAAAATATTCTATAATTATTAACAGATATTCTAAAAATAATATAAATTAAAAAATATTAAAAAAAAAAATTATTGTAAAAATATTTTAAATAAAAAATATTTTAAATAAGAAAATAAATAAAACTATAGAAAAATATTGTTAAAATTAAAAAACTAAAAAATTTTGAATTTGAAAAACGAGAGAAAACACATTTGAAAATATGTCACAATTTTTTCAAGTGGAAGTCGGATGTAATGAAAGACTTCCATTTAAAAATTGTAAAAAAATTTAAATTAAACAAGCTAAATAGATTAAGTGAAAGAGGAAATAAGAATTCTAAAATAAGGCAAAAAATATACATAAGACTTTGATAGATAAATGCTCAAATAACCCAAAATTATATAAACTGTTCTGTAGGCCAAGTAAATAAAAGAAATATCGAAAAAAATGTTTAAATAATGGAAATATATTTGAAAATAATATAAACAAAAAAGGGAGAAGCAAAACACTGGGCTGGGAAAAGACTGCCAAATACGTAAGCAATTGTATAAGCCAGAAAAGTAGGGGAAGTGCGGGTCGTCTATCATGTTACATCACTTGCCTTGGCTGGTGGTCTTTTGGCAAACTGTTGAATGGAAAATTGGAAAATCGAAAAATGGAAAATTGGTATTACGTATAAGCATTGTGGCAGAGGCAGCGACAAAACTCGCGCAATGCGTATACGCGATGTGGGACGGGCACCGAACCGGGGTAGAAGCCGAGGGGCGGAAGAGCCGCAGAAGCAGGCCTGCTGGCTGAAAATAGATCAAGCAGAAAGAAAAAAGAGCTCGCTATACTCATAGAACAGCAAAGCGCAATTGCCAGAGCCACAGCCAAAGCAAAAATCAACAGACTGAGTACAGTCGAATCATACGAATATACAAACACATATATATGTATTCTAAAAAATATATAGAATTTACAAACGAAAGATACATTTCGGGCTGACCTAGAGATACATTAATATCTTTTTCTATCTTTCTTGTTGGCGCCTATTTAACTCAGATATATAAAATATTTATATATATAAATGTTTAACATATATATTACAAAATAAATGCCAAAGAAATTATGGCCTCAAAACCGAAAAGAAAAAATGAGTAAGACGGGTGTATATGACTGCCTAATACTTGCTCAAGATGTTGTTACAAATGTATCCGAATTGATTCCATAATATTTGACTGAGCTATAGATAACTTTAAGTACTCCACTTCTTACTGTAGAATAGAATTGTATATGAATTGTATATGTCTGCCTATGCGACCGATTCTAGATAGATTTTTGTTTAAGCTAGAATCTTTGGCGTATATAAACAATATATTTTTGAAATATTTGAAAAATAGTAAAGTAAAGTAGTAAAATAGTAGCGTTAAGAAATATTTTAATAATTGTTTAAAAATATTATGATAAAAAATAACTTTAAACAGAATATCAAAAAAAATATTTCAAAAATTATTAAAAACTTTTAAGCAAATATTTAAATTTATATAGTTTATGGAATAGAGTGGAATAGCAAGCCAATATGCCCGCTTTGCACAATGCGAACGAGTGAAAGACGAATAAAATGCATTTGGCAGACAGATTTCGTAAATTGTCAGCGCAAAAGTTAAATGTATCTGTCAGATACTGTAACTCAAAAAGAGAAAGAGAGAGAGGGGGAGAGAGAGAGAGTGAGAGTAAAAAAGAGAGAGTGTGAGTAAGAGAGCCAGAGTAGAATTTTCATATAGTAAATGTGCGCAGCCATTTCGAATCAACTAAAAATAAACTCACCTTGAAAAGTTTCAAAAAATCTTGTGTGAATATATATATATATATATATGAAGTATATATATATATAACTGACGATATAGCTTCAATCCAGATAAATTGTTTGCTGCTTGTTGTTGTTTGTTTGTTGTTGTCGTTTCTTGAACAATTCGAAACTGTTGGTTAAAAAAATTTGACTTTTTGTACACGAGATTTTTGTTTCGTAAGCTCTTTACTTTTTACTTATAAACCAATATTTATATATATATATGTATATATATATAGAGGTATATAGATATAAATATATGATTATTTTTCGATATTCGTTTTAACCTTCAGCAACTATGCACAGAAAATTTCACATAAGAATTTTAACTTTTTTTTATTACAATAAACACAAGCACAAAGTTAAGGCCTAAAAGAAAGAGAGAGTGGATTATGAATGTGCGTAAGAGAGAGAAAGAGATAGTATTTGATTGGTTTTTGTTGTTCTTTTTTCTTTGATAACACTAATTTATTATATATATATATTTATTATTGCTGATGATGTCAGTTTATGAACTCTTTATACATAGACACATATATATATATATATATATATATATATATATATATATATATATATATATATATATATGTCTAAATCATATATAGTTCATATATCTTTGCTCAATTTACACACTTTTGTCGTTAATTGATTGATTTCTTTAGATTTATTCTGCGTTCGAGGTGTTGTTTTGTGGGGCGACGTTAACTAAGCGACGATTTTCTCTCAACTGAAGCAAAAAAAGCGAAAACCGAAACCGAAAACCGAAAACTTTTGCTGTGAAATGTTTTTCGAACTACACAAAAAAAAGAATATTTTCAAGCAAGTGGCAGACAACGTCGCTGCCGCTGTCGACGGAGACGTTAGCGTCGCTGCATTTTTTTTTTTTTTGCTATATGGCGGCTATATGTGCGGGCACTAGACGTTGCCAGCTAAATCCCAGAGACCCTCCTCTCTCTCTTTCTCTCTCTATAGAGCAACGGCTGCCAATGTCTGTCTATCTAACTATATACATATATACATATATATATATATATATATATACATATATATATATATATATATATAAATATATATCTACACTATATATCCATATATATATGTATCTGTTATATCTGCGTATTTTGTTATTTTACTAATTGTTTGCAGTTTGTTTTCATTGCCCAGCAAGAAAAAAGGAAACTTTTGATGTTTCAAGTGGAATTTGTTGTTGTTTTTTCTTAGTTTTTATGATAAGCTATATCTCATCTATATTTCATATAGTTGGTTAAACAACCAGATTAATCTAGGCTAAAGGCAATTATCTTTTAGAGACGAGAATGCCTGCAGTAAATAGAAGGGTTATCTGTAAAGCCAAATCATATGACATCATATTTTAAGCGAAAATTCACTTTCTGCGAAGCCTAAAACGTAATAACTATTTTAGATACATTTTCTTAGTCTTATGTTCATTTTTCTATTAACAATTTTTTTATTCTATTCTATTTTTAAATATTTTATATTTATATTTATGATAAGTAGTTTCTTATGGTTTTTCTTGCATTTTTACTTATCTTGATATCTGTGCTATATTTTTAGTTTGTTTTAATATTTTAAATTCAAATTTTAATATTTTTGTATATTTTATTTTATGTTATAGTAATTCTATCCGTAGCCCTCAGGCGAGTTTATCTGATTCGTGTTTTTAATGAAAGTTTTAACTTCTGTACAGAAACACAGATATAATTGCTTGAAAATAAAAAATTGTTGCCCAGGCAACTTGAAAATTTAATTCGTTCCATTTTTTCGAAAAAGCCGCAAAAAACGTGTATGAAATTTATATGATATAGAGAGATATATACACGGATAAATGTGGCATAAAAAGCTCAAACGATTTTAAACAACTTAATAAGAAAAAACAAGGAAACAACAAATGCAAAAACAATAAATAAACAAATGCAAACGGATAGCATAATAAACTCAACTGCCAAGCGAGGCGCAAAAACATTTTTCAGCTTTTTAATTAAATCATGTTTTCCACACCAAACACAATAACTAACTAGTAGCTAGTGCTGAAGATGGCACTGATCGACTGGAAGATGTCCTGTAACCCATATCATAAATATTCAATATTAGACTCCTAACTGAACTCTTATACTGACGTACCCTTATATTCTTATACTCAATATTCTGATACTCTAATACTGTTGTATTTAAATATGCTAAGCGAATCTTATACACGCTTGAACTCTTATACCCTTTAACACTTATACTTTCAGACTTTAGTGATTTTATTCTTCTCTGATCTTACACTTTCACACTTTCTACCCTTATAGTCTTATATTCTTTATTCTTATACTCGGCTAATCTTCTATTTTTATACTTATACACCTATACACTCCTATGTTATTATACTCTTATGTGAGTTTTAAGCTTATACAAACGAGCAGACAAATGGACAGATAATATCTATATATACTATGGACTATGGACTGCCTGATACATCAGTTTCATCAGAGCTCTTCTAACCTAGCTATCAATTAGCAATAGATTGCAGGGTATACGACAAAATTGTCGCGTAATTCAATCAAATAATAAAAATATTTGCAGTCAAAAAATGAGAGAGGGAAAGGGGAGAAACACGATAAAGCCATACAATAATAATGATAGGAATTTGGGCTATATGAACTTCGGGGCACACAGAAGACGAAGAAGCAGATCTGACAAACAGTTCTATATAATTAAAAGTTGTTAAGCGACACGCGAGATAAGCAGCTAGAGTTGATTAAAGTTCCGTTTTGAGTGTGAGACAGCAAAGTTACAACAATTTAATGATTTATTTTTTCACACTTCTTTCACTTTTATTTTTTTTTTAATTTGCCGTTACGTCAAAGATTACGCATAAATTATAATTAGTGCTTAAATTTGTTTTCTTTTTATTTTTGCAATTCGCGTGAGTCAACAAAACGAAATAAAACTGGCTCAAGCCACGGAGATCTCTGTGAATCATTGAAGCCGGTTTTTGTTTGTCCAAAAACAGATCAAATTATTTTTTTTAACAAAATATTGATTATTATAAGTTAAACACAAAACACTCACGTTTATATTTTTTATTTTGTAAATATTTTTTTAAATATGACGCAAAAAGTGAAGTTTGACGAAATTTTTTGGTGTAGCACAAAAAGCCACTGAACAGCGCGCGATCGTTGCTTGAAGACGAATGGCAAAGGCAAAGGCAAAGGCAACAGATCGCAGCGTTAAAGTCAGAGAGAGAGAAAGAGAGCGAGATAAGGCAGCCGAGACAGAGGAAGAGACGGGAAAAGCAAGGGAGAGCGGAACGGAGCGAGCGCTTGCCACTTGCAGAGAGCGCAGCGTGCCACACACAAGCAATCAACAGGTAAACTGAAAGGTGAAAATGTATACAAAGTGAGAGAGAGATGGAGAGTAGCTCTGTGTGAGTCTATGTGTGTGTGCATGTTATGGCTGATAAGATAAAAAAAGCAAAACAAAAAACGCGCCAAACTCAAATTTTTATGAAGTCAAAGATTTGCGCAGCCCAAAAATAAGCCAAAAACAATGATAGACAGATGAAGACTGCTAAAAGTATACATATATATATATATATATATATATATATATATATATATATATATATATATTTGTATATATATATATATATATATATATATATTTATATAATATAGTTCTATATTTAGGTTGCATGCCACAGCAGTAACAGCAACACGCGAAACAAAAACAGCAACAATAAAAGAAACTGGTTACTCCAGTTGCCCAGATAATCTGGGTGACGGCTCCAGCAGCAACAACAACAGACAAACAACAAACAAACAAGCAACAGGCATCGCTCGCTGATTCTTGCGCTGATTTTCCTTTTTAGCGCCCCAAAAAAAATTGAGAAAAAACTGAAAAAAGCGAAAATCAAGGCGCAACAGAAAGCAGACAAAATGCAGCAGGCAACTCGTAGCCAGAAAAGGCCAGAAGCTGGAGCCAACACAGCGGCAAACAAGCCAAGCTGAGCTATAAAACGGAGACAACTTGAAAGGGCTGAAAAAAACTAAAAAAGTCAAAATGATGACTACAATGCCGCAAAAAATGTTAGCCAAAAAAGCTAAGAAAATGTTAGAAAATGGAAGCCACCAATGATGGAAAAACTAAAAAATCAGCAAAATTTATGACTAACAAGCAGCCGAAATCCAGTACCCAAAAACAAGATAATAAAATGCCACAAGCAATAGCTTTTAAAGAGCTAGACAACGTAATCAAGAAAAGCTTAAAAAATACCAAAATTCACGCTAAAAAATCTAGCAGCTTGAAACCAAAGAAGCTAAAAAAAAGCTGGAAAAGCATCTAAGCCAAACACTGGACAAACATAAAGAAAAGGCCATAAACTAACTAAGAAGAAGCCACAGAATCAAACACAAACTGACCGACTTAAAGCTAAGATAACGCTACAAGCTGCTGCCAAAAAAAAACAGCTAAAAACCCAGGCTAAAAAACCTGCACGAAATTCAGCCAAAAACTTTTTTGAAGCTAAAAAACTGCGCAGTTGCATAAACCGGTTAGCCAGCTGCCTAGCCCCCTGCCACGCCCCCTGCGTAAGCCCTTTTTTACCAGCCCACTTGCTGCCTTCGAAAGTTGTTGCTCCTGCTCCTCACACTCTCTCTCTCTCGCTCTACCTCCCCCTCTACCTTCACCTTCTCTTTGTCACTCTCTCGCAGAGCTGAAGATCATGTACTAGCCAAATGGCCTGCAAATCATTTAGCAGCTATTTTGCTTGTGCTTAAGCTGCAAAGAGAGCGAAACAGCCAAGAAATATCTGAAAAATGTCACGCTTGACTTTATGTTATTCTACCTCTTCTTCTTATCCTTCTTTCTTTGGCTTGTTTTACAATTTAATATCACCAAACAGAGAAAAAGAAACAGAAAGCAATTAAAGCGTTAAATGGCCAATTCAGAAATCGCTTAGCTCAAAGAAAACAACCAAGAAAACAGATATTGTTGCTTAATTTTTAAGTAACCAAGAAAACAGAATTTGTTGCTTAATTTTTAAGTAAATGTTTCAAATTGGTTCTAAATTATTTTTGAATTTGCCGCCAAAGAGTGAAAGTGTAACAAAAAAGCGACACATGGATGGCCTCAGTTAGCGGAGACACGAATCAATTGTATACACAATAAATTAGAATATCCAATATTAGTTTTACAAAACACAAGCAGAGCCCATAAATACAATTTAAGATCAATTTGAATTAAATATTTGGACTTCTTCCTAATTATTAATACATATATTTGCTGCCAAATAAACTGAAGTCGCCGTTTAATTAATACACAATGTTAGTGCAGACACAAACCAATTTAAATATTCAGCCAGTTGCTGAATAAAATTTAGCCGAGTTTCAGAACCAGCAAGCAGTGCCACAAGCAGTTAACGTACTAGTAGTTGTCCAATTCAGTGGTATCGAAACTGTATCGTAGTTAAGTTTCATTCGCCTGACACAGTTTTATAGCACTGTATTAGACTCAATACTTTTATAGTTGAGGATATATAGGGTATGAACTAGCACTACTTTTTCCATCAACGCAGCTATATATATGAAATACATATGTAGGGTATACATAAGTCGTTTATATATTCATTTACCGCACCTCGAGTTGCGTTTGCCATTTCGAAATTCAAATTTTAAAATTTTTTATAGTTTTGCAGCTAAAAGCTAAAAATGAAGCCAAAAAGCCAAAACACTTTGATGGCGGCCGCAATTCAGCCAAAACCAAGTCTTGTGGTCTTATGCGAAATATATATAAAATGTATTAATGGATTGACGTTGCGCATTTGGTCATTGTGAACTGATAATTGTAAATTGCTTATTGTGAATGTAGATCACGATCAAATGGCAGCAGCCGCAAATGGATTGCCAACAAGACAAGTTTCTCGCCTGGCTGAGGAGTGTCAATTGAAAATTGAGTAATTATACACCTGACCAGATGATGGGAGCGAGGAGAGAGTGGTGGCAGGGGTGGAAGGGTCTCAATATCTCTCAATCTCCCTCTGTAGAAGTAGAAGAAGAAGTTGAAGGCAGCACTGAATCACAGCTGAAGCTTGGGTGGGAGATTATATGAGAGGAGATGGAAGAGCGGAAAAGTCTCTTCATTTTACTCCCACTTTGTAGGCTTGGAATGTGAGAGGTCTATATTGACGGGCGAGTAGAAGAGGGCCTCTCATAATCAGAAGTCTGTGAGTCTCTGAGTCTGTGAATATCCTTGAAGCATTACCAGGGTATCTGCCAGTCGTTCACATACATTCCCCTTCGCTGTTTGGTCAACTGCAATTGATTCGTGAAATAGTTTGCCTTGTCTGTCACATTTGTCATTTGTTTTTATTGCATTTCAATTGGCATCGCCGCCTTTTGGCTCAACGCTAATTAAAAATTCTGGCATTTGGCTAGAAAAGCCTTTTCGAGATGTTTTACTATTGATCGGGGTCTAAGACACGAAAACACGTGCATTAATTAATTTGTCAGGTGAATTCGGCAACAAATCAAAGTCAGAAAAGGCAATGAAAAGACTTCAAGAAAAACGGAGCCAAGGCAATACTTTTGGCGTTATTTTCGGCAAAGATGACAGCTCTAAGAATTTCAATTTTGTTTGATAAACAACTAAACATACATTTATTAATTAACTTATAATGATTCACAACTAAAATGTAACTAACAAAAGCTATAAGAGAATTTTTTATGGATTTCAATGGGCAAAGTTTTATTTTTTTTTTTTGTTAAAGATGGCAACCCTTGGCTGAGCCATGGCAACCAACAATGGGGCACAACAAAAAATTGATTAACAAAATGTTCAAGGGCTTCATTGTGGACCGCCAGTTACCATCAGGCAAAGTTGTGTTTTAAGCAGAAGTTGGCAACCCTAGGGTGAGCCATGGCAACCTGGAAAGGGCACAACACATAAACTTTTATAGCCACAACTTTGTTTTTGGAGCGAAGCCAAATTGAAGTCAAATGTACGAAGCGGGCAGTGAGCAAATCAACTGCAACGGCGCTCTCATTGAACTGCCCTCGCTGCAGGTGGTCAAACCAGGTGAGACAGGAGATGGAGTGAGAGTGACAGTTAGAGTAGTGAGCCAGCTGTTGACGACAATCTTCAATTAGCGCCCAAAATGCCAACAGATGCAAACATCGATTGGCTACTTCATATTTATTTCACACGCCGCCAGTTCGACAGATGCCGCCGACTCATCGCACGTGAGCTGAATCGTCATTTGAATGCGGAGTACCTGTACTTTGTACAGGTGAGTGCCTGAATTTGATCAAATATAGTGAGCTATTCATTCACGTGGACTCACCTCAGGGCCTAATTGACCGCGAAGCTGGCAATAACATCGAAGCGTTGCGCAACCTTCAACGGGCAGCCGAGCTGAACAGCCGAAACATTGAGAACTTTAAGGAAATCGGAAGGACTCTGTAGGTCAACTACACTGGACAACATAGTTTTTATCATTTTGCATGATATGCATTCCGTTTCACTGTACATTTGAACTCAGCTCAAAGAGGCTAAGGAGATTCATTCATATAAGTTTTTGCATCTTTTATTTTAAGATTACAATTTCAGCTGATTGACTCATACGACCAATCCGAATCATACGAATCATTTCATATTAGTAAAAACTTCAATTTTGTTGAACATTGTTATCGATTTTTGCACCCCCGCCCAAGTAAGCTCCCCTCCTCTCTTCGTACAGTTACTTGATGGGCCGCTTTAGCCAAGCGCTCAGCGTATTTCGCGATGCCGAAAAGCAGAGTCCTCGGCCGGATCATGAGATCTATCATTATCTGGGCGAGTTGCTCTATCGCGCAGCATCCACACAGCCCCAACTGGAGGCAGCTCGGCAGCTGCAGAAGGAGGCGCGAGAGTATTTCGAGCGAGCCGTGCAAACGGGCAAGAAGCAGGAGAGCTACATTCGGCTGGCCGAGCTCTATCGCAAGGAGAAGGAGTATCAAAAGGCCATCGATGTGCTCGAAGCTTGTCTGCAGTTAGTATAAGCCTTAAATCCATTTAGTTCTTAACCTAAGCTGCACTTTCTCTTAGTCTCACTCCAGAGAATGCCGAAGTTCTGACAGAAATCAGCGTTTTGTATTTGAAAATCAATGAGACCCAAAGAGCGTTCGATCGCTTAGCGGAAATCGTTAACATCGAAGGGAACTGCGAGCCGAAGGGGTTGTTGGCCTTGGGCGCCATTTTGCAGGTGAGTATCTGGCTGGCTAGAAGTGTTCACATGTTTTACGACTTGACACATTTGACAGTCGCGCAACGATGTGGACGGCGCCTTAAGCAAATACAGCCAAATCGCAGATGCTGAGCCGGAAATTGCGGAACTCTGGAATAACATTGGTCTGTGCTTCTTCAAAAAGCAAAAGTTCATTGTGGTAAGCAGCTGTCAAAGGAAGCTACTCAAATAGAAATGGAGAGTTATTTGCTTTTTGTTCCTCAGGCCATTTCATCTTTACGCAAATCCATTTGGCTTTCGCCTCTCAACTACAATGCGCTCTACAATCTAAGCCTCATCTACATTGCCTGTGAGTGTGGTCCCTGCATAAAATATTTAGAGTGTGCACCATGAGTCGTGGTTTCAGTTGCAACAAAGGCAGTTTGCTATCCTGTAACAGAATATGTGAATACCAGAGACTGCTTTTAGCTGGCAGATTTCTTGGATGAGCATTTGACTATAGATTTGAGACTTGAACCTTGGACTAGTTTATGTATATGTTGGACTGAGATCAATGTTTTACTCATTTCCTTCTTCCTCTTTAAAACTAAATGGCGTTCCAATCGTATGCCTAAGCTTATATTCCTTCATCCATACGTTACCCTTTCAAAGTTTGTCTCCATGAAGAATTTCAATGGAGAATCTTCTTCCTTTTACATTCCTTATTCATTCTTCGTCAGTGTCACTTCCGTTCTTCCTTAGTCCCGTTTAGTCTCTTTCTCCCTAAGAAATATTGTCTACAGTAGTTACTACAATATTTGGTTTATTTGTTATCGAAATATATATAGCTGTAGTCAGTTTTACTTTTCGCTTAATCAATTCCTCATTGGTCCACAAACACGAACTTCCCATGAACAATACAAATATGTATAAATATAAATAAATGTATAAATATATATATATATATATATATATATATATATATATTTATATTTAGATGTTTATTTACCTTCCGTCCGCCATATTTCCTCTCCATCCTCCACGGCAGGAAACGGAAGTATTTCGTAGAATTCGACCTTCACATCACAATTAGTGTAATGCTCATATTGATTATATTTGAACAGCCAACAAGGTCTCTTATGTCCCAGCTTCCCCCTACACAGCTGAGACCCCAAGACACTTATTTTCATAGAAAAGGCCACTCAAGAAGAGCAACAGTCTAACAAAAAAAAATACACCGTAAAATTACCTTTTGGGAAGACCTTTCATAAATGTCAAATAAAAATAATGAAAACACGAATGAAATAAAACAATTGACAGGGCCTTGAAAAATTTATTCTTATGGTCTGCCACAGTTCATTGTTATTCTTCTCGTTGTTTTCTAGCATTACATATTTCTTATTGTTTTGTATTTAATATTTAATGTTTACCTGACTTTTCGACCGTGAAACAGCGGAACAATATGCGAGCGCCTTTCACACTTTAGCAGCAGCCATTAACCTACGCAAGGACAATGCCGAGTGCTACATGCTCCTGGGCTGTAAGTGTTACACAAAGTCAGTCAATACAATGGGGATACCCTTCTACAATCTCTCTCTCTTTCTCTATTTCAGTGTGCTTGCGTAAACTGGACGATATGGAAAATGCGTTTGTAGCTCTCGAGCGTGCCTGCAGCTTAGCCAGTGGCAACATGCGACATCCTTTGGTGTTCCTCAATTTTGCGCTCTTCTGCTTTGAGACAGGCCGTCTGGCCCTAGCCACTGAGCATTACAATCGTTTCATGAGTCACGCCCAGGATTTGCTGCTGCCCACTGAAGTAAGTCGCGTGTTCTATCAGCGTGCCCAATGGCTTCTGGCCAGGACCATTGATTAGCGCAGATTATTTGATTCCTCTCCTGCTCTTCCTACTTCTCGTATTGCTTCTCCTAGTACTTTTTCTACTCCTCTTACTACATCCTACTCTTTCCAGTTCCCAATGCGTTTTTCCCCACCTTTTCGTGGCTCCCGCCATACGCTCCCCACCTCCTGATTCCTTTTACCTAGATATTCCACATCCTCTTGCAATTCCTACTACCATTTGTACGGCAAAAGCCACAAAAATTTCTCTCACCAGTCGCATTTCTGTAGCTTTTCTACCATAAAGTAAAAAAGCTCAAAAAATAATTAAATTTAAACGAAAGTCGAACAATTCATCGAAACGGGGAAAAAATACTTTTAATTGGCTTTACAGATTGGACAAATAATTATTAAAATATGTAATTATTAAAATATGTGAAGTTGCGGGTGAATGCAAAATATGTCATATAGAGATTGTGTATAATATAGTCGAACAGACAGATATTTAAGATATTGTAAAGAAAAGGTCAATATTTGAGTTTGCATGGTATATCAATATATTCCTAAAAATAGTCTACAACAATCAGGACAGGGTGAAACAATTCGCTACAGGGTATATGTCAGTTGAGTACTTATGTAAGACAGAGAATAGTTAAAGAGGGGACTCCAAATTCAAGTCTTCTATTTTCAATTCAGTTCAAGGTCGATCAAGGAAAATTTTCAATTGCAGGGTATATTTGAGTCGAGCAACTTAAAATTAAACCCAATACATAAGCCTTGTTTGTTTATTTAGTATAAGTTTCAGGCTACTAAATTGAAATCGCTGCTGCGCATCTCAACGCACAGCCAGGGCATACTAGGAGATGGCGATGATTCAGCGCAAGCAGGAGGCGAGGATGCAGCCAACCAGGTGTTGCAAGAGGAGCTGCCGCTGGAAGTGAATGCTGTGGTCAGCATTGGCAATTAAGAGAAAACAACTGATAGAGCTGAGATAGTTAACTCACATCAAACATTTATTTGAAACTTGATCAAAACTGAAATCAAAAAGCGTAAAAACAAATGCGTCCGATTTGAAGCCAATGAAAATCCATTAGCCATGCGATCTTAAAACTAATTATATAATTAAATATATTTAATATATATATATATGTATATACATAAATGAATGTATATGTACATATTTATGTGTTTATATCGTAATAATATTGAATTGTGTGTACTTAACTCTGTTCATAAAGTTCAAATGGAAGAAGAGAACAGAACAGCTCAAGGGGCTCGTTGGCTGCTCGTTCTCTTTAACCAGTTTCTTTTTCCTTTTCAATTTTAATATAATAAAATTTTTTATTTAATTAATATTTCATTTAAATATTTTAATTTGTAATTCCCTATTTAAAATGTTTATTTTTTATTCTATATTTTTGTTCTAAATTTGTCCTTTCACGTCCTCATTTCACCAGTTAATTTTTCCATTAAAATATTTAATTTTGTTTTATTTTTACTTTTAATTTTTAAATGTAACTTATTTAATGTTTGCATAAAAAATCGTATTCAACTCTTAAAAGCTAATAAACGCTGGCGTTTCTTATCTCAGAATCATAAATAGTTCAGTTTAGTTAATTTATATATTTGCATATATAGCGAAATACCGTTATTTATCGATATTTATCAATAGCTTTTTCTAAATCTAACTTCAAGCTGCATACAAAATTCGTTTCATGTGTCTGCTAAATGGAAATGGCACTTCATACCCTACAAAATGTGCAACTCGGCGGGTCGACGCGACTCGACTGTTTCTTTTAGTTTTGGTATACCCTAGACGCCCTAGCTGTCAGTTTCAGCTTAACTTTTTCAAAGTTTTTCCAAAGCACATCTTTGAGATGCTTTCCCCCACCTGCCTCTAATTTCTTCTCGATCTCCCCCCGTTCAGTAGCTTCTAGACACAGGTAGTGGTCACTCGAGTGAGTCGTGTCATCTCGCTGCTGCCAAAGTGTCGCTTGAAGAACAGAGATCGGAACGTTGTGCGAAACTGTTTCGACATGAGTCCGTAGAGCACAAAGCCCACAGCTGCATTGATGAGCGCCAGCAGATCCACCAGCTCCCCGAAAGGCGGATAGCAATGGGCGAAGAAACACTTTTCCAGCACGCCCGACAAAAGGCCCAGCAGACCCTGAGGAAACTCCGTCACCAGAAAGAGAATCAGCACAGCCACCAGAAGGAGAGTGGTTCGATCATTGCGACGATCACAACGAGGAGGCCTGCAGAAATGGGCAAAAAATTGGAATGAAGTGCATTCAGGAATGCGAAACACATTAAATGAACCAGCGAAGAAAAATTAAATCAAATAAAATATATATATGAAACAATGGAATGGAACAAAGTTGGAATAAAATGAAATACTAATAAATAGTACTCATAAATAAATGAAAGTAAATTAAATATAATGAATACGAAACAGTGGAATGGAACCAAAGTTGGAATGAACGAAAACTAACATAATGCATTCCAAAATATGCTACAAGCGAAAAGCAGCATAGAAGCAAAATTAAATTAGATGAAACACAATGAAACAAATGGAAACCAATACAATGTGAAACAATTAAGGCAGTTAAATGAAACAGCGGAATGGAAATTAAGACAATAGAACATCAAAATAGAGAATATAATTAAGGCAGTAAAAGCATTTCAAAAGTTAAGCAAACGAGAAATTTAAAAGCAAACATGACCCAAAAGATGAAGCAAAACTGACAAAATATGAAATAAACAAAATTGTTGAACCCATATCAGGTGAAACAAAGCATAAAATCAGGTGTTAAGCGTGACAGACAACAATTCAGTTCAAATGGTTAAAGTAAAGAAAAATATGAATGTAGAGAATATCAGGCTAACGAATGCAGAAATGTAAAGAAATGAAATGGGATGAAAGATGCCTTAAGAAAGGAATAATACATTCACCATGGGATTAAGTCAGGTGGAAGTTGACGGATGTTCAGCAAATATTGGAATGAAAGAAATCAAATGAAATCAAATGACACTCAAAGATGAAAGAAATGCAGAGATAAAAATGGATAATTATCGATGTAAACTTATGAAAATATAATAAAAATATATGGAAAAATCAATGTTACTTACCGCCTGGACTTCGATTCATTGAGATTTAGCTGAATGGCGTATTTGGTGGGATTATCGTAGTCCTTGAGCTTGAGACGCCGACGTGAAGCTTCGCACAGAACGTGCATCAGAACGAGACTGATGACAGTTAAAATGAAACAGGGCAACAGCTTAATAATCACGGAATGTATCCAAAAGTTGAATCTATACGGAGAGAGGGAGGGAGAGTGAAAGTTAGTACAGTATCTTTTAGTTGGGCAGGTCAACGTTTACTCACCTAAATAGCATAGAGTCCGTGTCAAAGTAGACATGATACATGGCCTCATGCTCTTTGGTGTCCATCTCGTGTGTCTCACGCACCTTAAACACGAAGTACGTGGGCAAACAGAGTATGGGCGAGATGATGAAGGGGAAGAGTATCGCCTCTCTGGAATGTGCGAGCAGAAAATTGGCACAGCTGCCATTCGGATGTCTGTGGATAAGAGATGGAAATAGTTTGCTATAAAGCAGAAAAACAGAAAACAGAAAACAGAAAGCAGAGAAAGAGAAAAAGAGAAGCCACATTTTCCGTCATATTATTCAGTTTGCCGGATTCAGCAAGAGTTCAGTTGGGGGTGAGCTGGTGAGGGCCAAACATTATCAACGCTACGCTTCCCACTCACCTGATTGCCACGTAGCGCCAAACAGCCAAGGTAACAGTCAAACCTATCGAAATCGTGTGCAGAATCTGTGTAAAGTGCATGTGGACCAACAAATAAACAGCCCACGCGTAACTCAAGTCCTTCTCGCCTGTAAAAGTATTAAATATTATTTATATATGAATTTAAACTTTAAAAATAATATTAATTAAAAAAAGTTTTAATTCTTATTTAAATTTAATATTCAAAACAAATTACCATACTCAAGTTTTTTAAATTAAATAATTTATCTTACCTGGCTTCATATATATGTATTGATATGTCGTATAGGGTATGTACTCGAGCATCACAAACATATCGGCCACTGCCAGCCATTTCAATATGTTGTTAATGGGCGCCTTGGCCATTTCCTTTCTGGTCAACACCATTATGTTTAGTATGTTGGCTATTGTCCCAAATATGCAAATCTTAAGGGAGGGAGAAAGAGAGAATAGAAAAATATGAAACTATTACACAATAGCTAACTGAGAGTTCTGGACTAGAAAATATCCTGTGATTAGATTAGATTTATAATATTAATATTAATATGCTTACGAGTGAGACTGCATACCTGATACCTTACTATTATAACTCCACTATAATGATACTAAGAATATATATACATATATATATATATCAAATGTTTACCCTCCACACCTTATAGTTCCCAAGATTCAACGCTTATACAGAAAAGCAGACACTTTGGGTGATTGGCAACAGCTATGCCTTGTCGACACTTTTCAATAGGGTATAGGCAAAATGGTGTCAGAACAAAGCCATGTCTATCCAAACATAGTAAAAGTTAGCTGATAGAAACCTCACACCAAACAGATCACACACCAAACCCTTTCGGTTAAGTTCCTCGTATGTTTTATTCATTTGCTGATTCACACATGACTTGACAAAATAATAAATATCATATTTTATTTGCTCTGTAATATTAGCATATGCGAGTAGAAGAGCGAGGGAGAGAGAGGGAGAGGGAGGAGGAAATAGATAGATAGAGTAAAACTCTATTGTGTCCTATTCAGCAGTTTTGTTGCCCGTTAGAATTGTTACGAGAGTGATTTCAAACAATTATCAAGTTCTGTTTGTGCCATCAAAATATACATTATTTTGCTTCAGGGTAGTTGCTAGTCATGCACTCCCTGCTTTGAGCACTCATTTGCCTTTAATTTAGCTCGGCAACTTTTCAGACGAACTTTGCATACATATATGAAGCCAACAAATGCCTTGAGCCTGGCCTTTGTCTAACGTAATTAAAAGCTGAAATCTAATATTTTTAATAATAACCTAAAACACCACAGAGAAAATGAAAACTTTTAATTGTTTGGGCGATTAAGTATGTTTACCTTAATTGAATATATAGTTTCATCAATGTTCCCGCAGTAAAAAGTGAGTTTGCTAGACTTAGGCAATGTTTGTTCGTCTGTCTGCATGAAGGCAAAGAATTTTGACTCTGTCCAAGTTAGAGATTTGAAACTTGAAAGTCATATGCTCTGCAGAAGTTGAGAATAGTTGGGAAAACACTATATCTTCTACAGTCTTAGAACTAGCATCTAGAGTCTTAATCTTAATTCTCAACTTGTTTAGCCCGAACGAGTATGTGGCCGTTAAAAAAAATTTTTAGCTTACTTTTTTATATATTTTGCTTAAGCTTCAAAGCCTTCGTTTACAGCCAATTTAACGTTTTCTAAATGCCTTTGGGCTTTTGTTTGGGTGGGCTTAAGAAACAAAACATCTTTTAAATTGTGGAGACACACAGAAATTCATTTAATCTTTTTTTGTGGTCAGAGTAAAAAATAAATGGAAATTTGGATAAGTTCAAAGGTGCGCGAATTCATCAACAGCGGACAAAGAAAAAAGGCCTTTTGCATTAAAAGGGTTGACATTGTTACAGACCGTAGAGAGGTGGTAAAGGGGGTGCAGTATTCAGAATGAAAAATGTTGTGGCAGGCAACCTGGTGACATCAAGATAATTAGTTCCCCGAGTTTGTTGTCGCTAATGAGCGCGTAGGAATGGGATTTCGACAATAGTTACTCACCAATAGCGAGACATAGCCATGGATGCCATTGTACGCACGCAGCCAACTGTAGATTTCGCCTTGGCAGTAGCCTTGACATTCGTCCTGCTGCGTTTGGTTCTTCTTCTGGAAATCAAAGAGCAGCTTAACGAAGTCCTGAATATCACCACGCGTGATCTCTAAGTCCTTGAGCAGCGTCTCATTCAGCGAAACCCTCTCATCCATCTGTCGCTGTGCCATGTTTGTCTCCTGCATTGTTAAAGTCAATCTCAATTGGGTTCCTTAAAGCATGCTACTCTGCAAGCAGAAGAGAGAGTGAAATAAATTGGAAATCAATTCAACCTCAAGTATCTTAATTAAGCTAATAAGCTGTGCATTTGCCAGCTACATTAGCCCAAATTAGCAGCGAATCACAACATAACAAAGCAAAACCGTCTAGCCACAAGGGACACAATCAGACTCAATAACCCAAAACGAAGCTTGAACAATAAGAAGCAAACAAATGGCAAGTGTTCGGCCAGTAGATGCCCTGCTATCCGTTCATAGTGGAAGTAAAAATTCACTTGCATACGCTAACTTAAAGAACAATTGATTATGGAAAACCGATATTTATCGATTTTATGAATACTTTAAAATAGCATTGAGAACATATTTATCGATTGAAGAAGAAATCATTAGGACTATATCATCACAGATTATTTTATCGAGGAATGAGATAGAAATGAAGATCATCTAATCTAGTAGCTATGGAAGATATGGAAGGATAGATTTTGAATTACAGAGACTAAAGCTGATGTAGTCAGATATACCTGCAACTTGTTTTTCTCGAGAACAGGGCATTTGAAAAGAGCCTTGCAGTGCGCTCAGTTGGTAGTAATTAGTCTGCCCCACTCTATAGAGGGATATGAGTAGCTGTTGTGTGCTGTAGTTGTGGCTGTATCTGTAGCTGTAACTGTATCTGTGGGCGTCTCTGTATCTGTAATCATATCAGTTTGTATAGTCTTCGTTTCTGTACCTCAAGTTGGTCCAGTAAACATTCAGTTGAGCTGCAGCAATCGATATTTGACTCTTTGTGGTCCACATGAATTGCCAGCTGTACGACAGGTGAAAGCTGCAGCGGCGAAGCTACATTAGAGTCTGGGCAGATGCCACATAATTACCAAATTGTGCAACTGCATGGAAAGACTGTAAACTTCATACTTTATGCTGCAATGCAGTTCATAGCAATTTTGAAATGCCAAAAAGCGATTTGAAAGCCAAATGCAGCGGCGGCACCAGCAGCAGCAGCAGCAGCTAGGCTGGTCAAACAGGCCAACATAATTCAAACTATAATTGATCGAAAATCTAATGCGAATTGAGTCAAAAGCACGAATTTTAAATACCCTTCAGTTCACACCAAGCAAGATTTTAATCGAGCCTAATGTTTGCTATAGCTGAGAGACTTTTGTCGTAAAACATAATTTAAGCAGAGCAAACACCTGTCGCAGTTTCGAGTAGCTGGGCGTAGCAGTTAATTGGCTAACGATATAGATACAACTTTTGCCACACACACATAAGCATTTATATATATATTTATAGTTGATAAACATATTTGCGACATCGTAAATCAGTCAAGTCAGCGAGTTGGCAAATCAAATGTCTCGCCCCAATGTTCAGCCATGTCAACGAAGGTGTTTGCTTTTGGCTAATGGGTTCGAGTCCAGCTTCAGCTTGCATTTAAATCCTGTTCGACATTTCGCAATTGCAATTCAGATTTTGTTTCTCATGTTTTCACATTACAAACAGCTGCACCACAAAAAAAACTGCGCCTTCAGACTGCTTTTTGTTGCCACTTGTCAATGATTTGATTTTGATGGATATGCCAAACGTAAGACAACAGACAGCCGAGCGCAGACGGCAGACTGTCGACATCACACATCAAACTTCAAAAGAAACAATTTTTTTTCTACGTTAAAACACGAAAAATGATTATTTATTAAACAGTTTTTCAACCAATTTGCCTAAAAGGCGCGAAGCACATGAAATATGAAACAAGATAGAGGAGATTGCTGAACTAGGAGATACCCTAAACTCTAAACAGTAGCTCTGTTCATCTTTTAGTCTTGTCTGTATATATAGACAAGACTAGGCAGAGAAACGGACAGAGAAGACTTGAATAAGTCATCTCTTCTTGATCCAGCCACGCAGTCTTATGCCTTTGCATCAATATCATTACGTCCCATTTACAGGGCATAATTGAAAATTCATATGCACCGTATATTTAACCATCAATCATAGTGAACGCAATTCAATCTGAAACTGACATTAAAGTCAACTGCTGGCTATCAAAAAAATGCGAAAGTATTTTTGCATACCGTACAAATCAATATTTGTCAACACTTGGAAATGGAAGACAAATTTATAGCAAAATATAGTAGTGAAATGAACAATAAAAAAGGACTAGGCGATAAATAAAATAATAGATTCTAGATAGAAAAAAAGACGTGAAAGACAGATTTATAATCGAATTCACTAAAACGGTAAAAATTAATCCATTATTTGAAACGAATATAAACTTAATTTTTCAAAGGTTTTAGATTCACATTTTTAATGGGTGCAGGGTGTACAAGAGGTGAATAATAATTTAATTTTTTATGTACACATTTTAAACAATTTCTTTATCTATGTCTCACACATTTCAATATTTGCAGCTAAAACATTTCAACAGTTTAATATATCAATTGAGCAGACATTTAATTATCTTTGTTTTTTTACATACACAACAATTTATGCGAATAGTTCTTGCAGAAAAACAATAACTTATTCAATTAGCTTTTTCCGCTTTTTTTGGTAAGTTGTGAGTGCAAAGTTATTTTCTGTTTCTTTCGCCCAAAGGCAAGTTCCGGCGCTAAATGCTAAAGGAAATGGAAAAGATGGTCGTGTGTGAGGCAAACACCCTCCACACGCACATCAGACACCCATACCCACACACACTTGAGCTAAATGGCGCCAAGTGCGAGCTTTAGATAAACGCCATACGGATTTTCTTCATGTTTTTTGCTGCTGCCATTAGCTGTGCTTCTGTTAATTAATGTTCCGTTACGCACACACATACATGCAAACTGACATACTGTGTGTGTGCTGCTCGTTGGCAAAGTGAAAGTGGGCATATTCGTTGCATGCACCAAATATCTGCCTGTTGAAGCGAGAGACTTGAAACTTATTGTGTAGGTTGTCATATGTCTAGCATTCCTAGTAGAAAGCCAGCCATAGAACTCAGTGGACTCATTTGACTCAGCTGACTATTAAAACCTTTAGTATTTACCTAGCATTAGAATGTACTATATATTATATTATAGCTTAAGAATATACTATAAAGCTAGCTACTATACCAAAAGTTCTGCAATCAATGCTCAGCTGATCAGTCATGCACTATAAGGTATCTCGCAGTCAGTTACTCCCTATTTTAGATATTATTCATTTCACGATTAGGTATCCTGCAGTCAGTTACTCCCTGGTCTCATACAATGAGCATTTTTTATTGGTCTATAACCATAAGCAGAGTGTGGTATCTCTTGTCGCTTGCCTGTTATCAGGCAGCTGCTGGCATATACATAGTATATTGCAGCAGTCCCGCAGCGTCAATTGTTTTAACGATTCAGCAGCGCAGTTGTGAACCATTAAAATGTAATTACACTGCAAAATAAAACTTAGTTTATGCACAAAGGAATGTGAATTAGTGAAGGAGACAATTGCACTGCAGGTGAAAGCCCCAAAATGAATTTCAATTTCGCTTTCACAGCTGCAGCAACAGGCCAAATGGCAAATGGCTTTGCAAATCGCACAGATTTCGATTTAGACGGCCATGAATAATGGAATTGAATAGAAATTTATTGGGCACATTTATCAGCAAGCTTCGAGCAACAAGCAACAACTGCAGCAAAAGCTTTAAGCAAATTTAATGCTTGAATGGCGGACAAATTGCCGTTGGGCTGCATAAAGTATTTCGCTTAAGCTATACATTCAGATTTTATGCCATGATAATTTGAGACTATAAGATTCATGGCAGACAAAACAAATTCAAGGAACTTTAAGTTCAAAAATTAATTTACTTTATATAGACTTTTTGAAAGGAATTGAGCTTTAAGATTTAAGTTGTAATACTTTAAGAAGCGACAATAATGTGGAACTCATTGCAAATTAAGGTAACACCAACCCAAAGATAGTTTACCTTTAGAATGAGCTTAGCTTTAAGCTTTGAAAATCCGCTTAAAACTCGACCGTAATGTGATCAAAAAATTCTGAAAAAATTTAGCTATGACAAATCGAATGCTCTTTTTTAATGCTCTTGAAAGCTGCTTAAATCTATATAACAATGTCATAGCAAAATTAAAAACTTATTGAACTAATAGCAATCTACAGAAGAAACTTCAAAAGCCAATCCAAAGAGCTTTCAAATAAAGGACCGTTTTAAATAAGATAATCCCAGCTAAGAACTGGTCTTTAATTAATCCAAATTAAACATTAATAACATTGCGATAATCTATAAATTCTAAACTAAAAATCTTTAAGCAAATGTATTTAAAACGCAAATTGCAAATTGAAATTTTGTCCTACAGTTGGATCTCAATTCAACAAACAAATTCAATAAATGCTATATAAAATTTTTCCTTTTAATTAAAAGCATTTCGATAAAAATCTGTTCATGTGTGATATTAAATGATTCATCTTGCATGAATATAAATAAATAAAAACATAATTTTTAAGTATTTTTGTTTACCTTTGGATTCATCAATTATTCATTTAATAATGCATTTTTCATATGGCGAAGCCATTAAAAATTAACTTGATCCGTTTACATTACAAATTATTATTTTTACGGATACTCAAACTGAGTGACTTACGAGATATATACAGATATACAGATATATTTATATGTATATATACATATGTTTATGCGTCTGCCACACACAATCGCACGCACAACTCGTTCGCAACAATTTGGACTTGATGTGGGCATTTTTAAGTTACTTTGCTGACTGACGAATGTGCGTGTTTTCCTATTTTGTAATACCCTGTACACGGCTCGAGAATGCGTAAGTAGGGTATATACGTTCTTGAAGGCAAAGATATGGAAAATGCAAAAGAAAGCCTGGCACTACCCATGGAGCATACATATAATTATTGAGAATGGTTAGTATAGTCTTTCCTGTAAAAGTCTCAAGAAATACTTAAACAAAGGACTGAAAATTTGAAATATATATTATTATATATATCACACAAAACAGTACTTTAATTTGATTGAGACCTTAGCTCTTTTTCCTTAATATCGACGATTTAATGATAAATCAAACTTCAGCTCAAGCCTCGTGCGATAAGATAATTCCTCATAAATATGTCTCAAACCGAAGTTATTCAATGTTTTCTCAATGGAAATTGATGGAAATTGATTTACTTTTTCTGGTTTTCCATACGTATGTAACATATAGCATAGACGTAGAATGACTGAAACAATAACTCTGTCTCTCTCTCTCCCTCTGGCTCTCTCTTTCTCTCTCAGCTCTTTTCAGGATATCTCCTAGTCGCGAACTCCCAACTAGAGCACTCTTAGTCGTTTTTCTTCTTATTTCTGCTGCTGGCTCTAAATAGTTTTTGCCTAATGAGTGCGTTTGACTTAGTTTTGAGTGAGTTTCGATCAACCGAAAAAAATAGTATAAATAAACAGATTCTGATCACAAATATCGTTAGTCGATATTTAGACACAGTGCAGTGAAGTGCAGTGCGTAAACCACATTGAAAAACATCTTAAGCCAAAATTTTAACATTATGAAATTCACTGTAAGTCGAAGCAGGACTTTAAAAACTCGATTGAAAGAGAAACAAGTTGGTTAAGAGGAAACAGTTAAGACAACAATTTAAGCAAACTTTTGAAAGGAAACAAACTTTTATTGAACTATCTGAATAGAGTTAGTCCTGATTGAGTCGCAAGGTTGATGGCTGTTGAGTTGTAAATAGGTATAATAGGATGCTGATGCTGATTGGTGGATAATTGATAGATATTAATTCCAGATAAAAATGTGAGGTGAAAACGTTTATAACAGGCAGAAGAAGGCATGGTAGGGCATGGTCAAAAGCTAGAGACTTCAAACTCTAAATTGGCCTTTATACCATACGAAATAGCTGTATAATAGTCCTTATTATCGATAATAATCGATGATTTAGTTAAGTTTATTTAAGCTTAGCTCCATTAGCACAATAACTAAAGACTTCAAGCTAAATGTGTAGGCTTCTGAGATGATAGATAAGCAAACTTCTTATCTTCTCCCACCCTCTTCTTTTCTTTCCCAATTTAAAAACAAGAGCCTTACCTTTGACACACTTGTAAAGTTCATTATTATGCTTTGAAAGTTTCATTAAGAAAGTTCAGCTAAAACAGAAGTTATTTAATATCTTAATTGCTTCAGCATGAGCGCCATAAGTAGAGCGTGTGCTTGTGTGGGCGTGTGTATGCGTGTTATGTGTGCTATTAAGCAAGATTAGACTGCGTGGAATAGGAGATCTGCTCAGGGTTCAGGGTATCTGCTAGGCAGGCACTTCCGACTAAGGAGCTCTGACGTATGCGAAATGATGAGAACGAATTTACTGATGTAAATTTATGATGTGCGCAGTAATTTCTCTTAGACCTAAATTAGAATAATAGAAAGCTGTCAAAAATCTAGCAAGATAACTTCACAATATTAAATATTAATAATAGATGAGCAGAGAGTTTAGAAATTTGCTCTTGTCCAACGCTGTCAAAGCTGTTAAAAAATGGCTCAGAAATAAACAAATTTCTTACATAAATCATTAAGTTCAGGCATTCATTTTAAACAAGAGCTCAGCTCATGCTGGCCAGGCCCATTTGTTATTACTGCAAACAGACTGAAAGGACAGTTACACGGGCAGACAAAGATCAACTGTAAAAGCATTTTCCTTTTTAATTATTCTTGTTATTTTTTCTCTATTTGTTCTGCATGTCACTTTGCCATGCGATTGGATAATTCGTGGGAAAACCATACCGAATGTGATATGCAAATGGGATTCTGCAGTTAATATTGTTGATGGCTGGCATTGCGTGCATCGTGGCCGCACCCGTTGCCGAGGAGCAGCAGCAGCAACAGTCGGTTGAGTCGTCGGCCAAGGCCAAGCGCGGCCTTGCTTTGGGTCTCGGCTATCACGCGCCCTTGTTAACCCATTCGCATTATGTGGCAGCACCCACATTCGTTCATCATGCGCCATTGATTTCGCATGCACCGCTCATCTCGCATGCACCGCTCATTGCGCACCATCCGGTCTCATCGATCTCCTACCATCTGCCCAGCTACCATTCCATTCATCATTTCTGAGCGCAGTCAGCTACCTGGAGCACCATGAAGCAACAGCTGCAGCCACATCCACTCAACACGCGCATTTCCATTTCGTATACCAACAACTAAAATTGTCTTCTAGTTTTTGCCTGTTTAAGCAGCTTTTAATGTTCAGCCCGTTTTCCGTCTTTGTAAATAAAAATGTTCAAAAAGTTTTCTTCTGCATTTAAAACAAACGAAATATCTTCAGTCAAAACTTTTGCAAACTACAAAAAAAATAGGGCCACGCATGACTTGCTGTTACACTGAGAGAAATTATTGAAAGATTCAAAATGAAAAACATTTCTTCTAGAGTTAACTTTTGTATTAGATATGAAGGATAATTTTTTCTAACAATTTCTAAATATTAATATTTACTTATATCTCGAGGAACTGGTATTCTTTTTAAAATGACTAAGTTTTTTGCTACTATACAAAATGCTCATAAATTTAATACATTTTCTCTCATTAAGAACATTTCAAGCTAATTTCCCTTATATTCGTAGAATTATTTTTTTTTTAAATTATTTTCAGTACATTTTAATAATGTCTATCAGAAATATCTAAATAAACAGATCTAAAATGCTACCATTGAAAAAATGTAATATTCAGATTTAAATTCCCAAAGCTCCATTGAAATCTACAAATCATAAGCTTCTAGTTTTTCTCTAAATGTTAAGAGCTCAAAAGTTCTAGCAACTGCTGCAGTTAAATGCAATTCTCTTCTCTTGGCAACCAGTTTGAACCGCAGCAGCAAAATGTTCGCCTCTTGCTGTGGCTGCCTTCAATTGTCGCAACTTGAAGCACATAATCCTGGCAGTTAAGCCCTTATGGCACAGTGGCCAACATTAAGTTAACATTGTGATTACGCACATTATGCAACAACATTATTGTTATTATAATGCAGCTCGCAACGAGCTGAGTGTGCATTGGGCTCTGGTTTTAAAGCCAATTTACGAGCTTTCCTATCTCTCTCTCTCTCTTCCTCTCCTAACTATATATATAATCCATTTAATAACATTGAATATTCTGGCATAAATTGTACTTAGGTCAATAAACATAATCATATTATAAGATAACACTTAGTGGCAAAGGCTTAAAAGCAAAAAAAATTTTAATAAATTGCAGTCGCATTACATTTGGCTTAGCTATCTCTATGTTGGGTATAATTTTTTATATGTGTTGAATACGCACTTTATGCACATAAACACAAAATGATTATTATAGACTCCCAGCACAAGTTCTAGCATGAAAAAACTCTCCGACCTACTCAATATTCCACCATACATACATATATATATATATATATATATATATATATATATATATATATATATATATATATATATATATATATACATACATACATACGTACACAAGTACATGCATACTTACATTCGTACATCAAAATATACCACTAACACAAACAAAGAAAAACACAGCCACACATGGAATACCCCCCAGACCAAACCTACTTGAATTCATGAGAATCGAGGAGGAGAGGACTGCCTTAAAAGATGTGCCAAGTAAATTTCGAACTTAACGTGTTTAACTTCATAAGACTCGTAAAAGAGAGAGCATTTACACATATTTGTGTATGTGGCAGGATACGTTCATATATACATACATATATGTATGCATACATACATATATTCATACATGCTATGTTCTACTATACTACATCACTTTTAACTACAAAAGCTGCTCAAAATATAAAAAAATAAAGAAATTGTCTTACATTGAGATCATATTCAGCTGATGATTCCTATGCCAACTGAATGATATAGTAATCCGATCCAGTGAATTGAATTATATATGTATTAACTGCCAAACCGGATCACTGATGAATTTCATGAAAATTACTTCAAAGCTGCGAGACTAATTAGAGACTCAACTACTGAAGGACTCTTCTCCTTTCTTCTTTCACATAAAAAGTTTTCCAAGTATTAAAAACACAAATGCAATAATGGATTTTAGTTTTGTCCTGATGATACATCTTGTATTTGTATTGAACAGTTTTAGATGAAATTGTAGAAGGCAAATGGAGATGTCGTCGATTAGTCAGAGAAGCTATCGCTCCAGTAGGTCGTTGTCAAAGGTGCCACAGACTTGAATAGATCTCTTCCCTGGTTGGGTTGTCCTTCCGTCGATTGCCGCTTGACCCTGCCCTCCGAATGGCGACTGCAGTTGGTGCTCTGATGGCGTTGCAAGCGCGTTTGAGTAAGGAACGTGCGCTGGCATCGCTTGCATTCATAGATAATGCCGTGTTCATCATGGCTTAGTGCCATATGACGTTTTAGCTCGGCTCGAAGTCGAAACACCTGGGCGCACAGTTCGCAGCGGAACTGGGCACGCTCTGATGCATGGCGCTCCATGTGCGTCTTGTAGGCACCCCGTACCTTGAACTTTTTATTGCATATCTGACAATGAAACTCGTGACGAGCGTCGTGCATTTTGCGATGCATCACATACGATTGCTTCCTGGGAAAACTCAAATCGCATTGATCGCACTCGAAAGGTCCCTGGCTGGTGGTAGCTGGTGAGATTTGTAGGCTACGTTTCTTATGATGCTCCTCATCCTGACTGTTAGCACCAGCTGAACGTTTTGTGCCCTTCTTGCGACCACGACGACGTCCCGGCTTACGCTTTTCACTAATATCCGTGTCCGCCGAGTCGCTGTCGGCACTAGTGGAACCTGCTACATCGGAGACCTTAAATTCAGCATCGTCATTCAGCTCCTCCTCATCCTCCTCACTGGCTGAATCGGAGACAGGCGCATCGATGACGACATAACCACGCGGTCTACGCACTTTGTTCTTGCTCCTCGACAAACGCTTGCGCAGATCCTTTTCCGTACTTTCCAGTTGCTGGCGCAACTTTATGGCAACTGTGAGACTCTCCAAGCAGCTATTGCATATGAACTGTGGCATAAAGTCCTTGGGCGCTATGACAACACTTGGACAGAGAAGCAGCAACATGTCGACCGGCGTGCTGCCTTGGCTGGTCTTCGTAAAGAGACTGACTAGGTGCTCTTTGCTAGTGCAGACACGACATTGTGTTTCATCCACTTCCTCCACCACTTGAGCACCCGCTCGACGTTCACTGATATTTGTTTGTTCTGTTCGCAATTCCTGCGCATCATCGCCCGTGATTAGCTCTCCTTCATCTTCTGCTTCCTCTGCTTCTTCTACTAGCTCTTCTACAGTTTCGTCAGCGGTGTCTGCCTCTTGGTCAGCTTCTTCCTCAGCAGCTTCGACATCTTCTACAGTGGCTTCATTGTCTTCTGCCTCAGTCTCTGCTTCCGTATCAACTGTTTCTTCTGCCTCTGCTTCTGCCGGTGAGTCTGTTGCCTCTACATCTGCCTCAGCCCCTTTTCCTGCATCTGCTTCTACCTCCGCCTCTGTTTCTTCTTCATCATATGCCGTTTCCTGTGCTGCTGTGGTTAGTGCTTCTCTTTCTTTATTGATTTTAACATCTGCACCTACTTTCCTCTCATTCTCACACTCTTCACCAGGCATTTCATCTTCTAGATATTCCGCTTCACCCATTTCCTCATCTTGTGCCTCCACCTCCATCTCCTGCTCCATCTCTTCTTCTTGCTCCTGCACAGCTGCTGACTGGCTTACGGTATGAGTCGTTGCATTCCCCTAGAAAATATTAGGCAATATTTTTACTGCTGTTTTATCCTGCCAAAACACCTCCACACTGCCCACCTCTTCAGCAACTGCTTCCTCTTCTGCGGCTTTGCTGTCCTCCGTCTCCTTCTCGTCTAATAGCTCCGCAACTTTATTTGATGCCGTGCCATTGGTGGTTGCAGCTAGCATTATTTCCTCTTCCATTTTCTATTTATTATTTTGTGCCCTTTTTGGCGCCTGAAAATTTACGCCGGCGCCGACAACAACAGAAGCAAAATTTGCAATTTTTTCACGCGTCAATTTAAGTCTTTAATCTCTCTCTTTCTCTCACTCTCTCACGGTCTCTTTGATTTCTTTTATTTTATTATTGTTAGTTGTTAAGAATTTGCTAAATAATTATAGTTTCTCTTTATATCTTTCACTTTGGAACGAGCATGCCCAACAAACATTTAAGAATTTTTACAAAACAACGCCATATTGAATGAGTACACACGCAGTGAGCAGCTGTTTTGGGCATCGATGCTTGTGCGCATGTCACATCAAATATCGATAACACACGATAACAGCGAGTGTGAATGGAATCGAAGCGCGCCAAGTCCAAATTTGAGATGCAAAAAATATTAAGAAAATATAAATGATACAAATAATAAAAAATACTTAAATAAGAAAAAAAATACTTAAAATAAGAAAATCTGGAGAATAATAAAAAATGTATAAATGTATGTACATATATATAATATATAAAATAAGAAAAAAAAAAATTAAATGCGATCAAATAAAATTATTCAAATATTCAAATATAAATTATATAATCAAAGAAAAAAAACAAATTTTTTAACACAAAAAAAAATTTAAAAAAAAATATTCTTGAATCTCAATATATTAAATGCATTTTATAATTATCTATATAACAAAAATAGTTAAATAAATCAAAAATTATAATAAAAAGACGCCAGAAAATAAATAAAATTAATTTAAATTAAATTATCTAAATAATATATATATATATATATATATAATGTAAAATATATGAAATATATTATTTCTAATAATAAAGAATACACTCAACAAAATAAATCAGATATATATTAAAAACTAACTAAAATTAAACGAAGCAAATAAACAACATTTTAAAGGCATTTAAATTTTTTTTGTTTTAGTTTACAAAGAAAAGTTTTCTTGTTAACGAATTTTTGATTTTAGTAGCAATTACAATATTGCACGTCCAGACTGCATAAGCCAGAAGCACTTAGCAACAATAGAAAAAATAAACAAAGTTTTCCTCGAATTCCCTCATCTAGCATATGTTTGCCTATTTTATTTTCATTCAAATTAAATTGTGTTCAGCAGGGAGAATAATAGAAAATGAAAAAGTAGAAAAGAAAAGAAAAGAAAAAAAGGTTCCCATTCGTTGTTAAGTGACTAAACCAAAAATAAATAAAAAAAATGTACATATTCATATATTTATATCCAACATGACCATGACCATATTTATTTCAATTATGCAACAAAACAGGCGACAGACGGAATAATGTTAAAGCCGTCACATCAACACTCCGAAATGGTCCTTTGACTGGAGCCCATTTGCGTTAACAGGCATATTCTTTATATTTTCGCTGATATACATATATGTATACTATTATACCCTGTAACCCAAGTGAAAGCAGAGCATGTATGTAACAGGCAGAAGAAGGCATAGTGGAAATTATTAATCATCAGTTCGAAGAATTGAATCAACTTGTTTCTTTTGTCTCTCTAATCTCATTCATCTGGATCACTACAAAAGCTAGGGACTTGACATTTGATTTACCTATTCTTGCATGCCCTACCATACTAAACGATTTCGATTAAAATTATTTAGCCCTATGTTCAGCATATCCCCTAGTCGTTCACTCCGGACTAAAGTGCTTTTACTTGTTCCTTTCGCCTCTTCCTGTGATATACGCCAACAATTATCGTGGCCAAGCATGCGTTGAGACAACAAAATAGGCCCTGGCCGCAGGGAAACGTGTCTGAGATTTCTGTGTATGTCGATTGAAATTCAGCTAAAGGAAACGGAACAGAACGAGCTTAAGCGACAGCTTCATACGCGTTAATAGTTACATTTTGATGAGCAAATGTTTATTTGTCGAGGTGATAAACCGAATATGGTACATAGATCCAGATGTGAAGTAGCTCAGCTTTGAATCAACTCCTAAAAACCAATATACCTCGCCATTATTACATAATGTCTACTATTTCAGATTGTTACTCAAAATCTGTGGAGGATCTAGAATTTTGTTGCCTTGTGAAACCTGCCTAGTGGCGAGACACTTTTTATATTCGAATACAAGTGCAGCATATAACCGTTTATGTGCTGCGTTGGGCGGGCATAAAACAAAACAGGTCGCGTTAGTAACTAGATAAATATAGCCTGCCTTTTCCTCAGGCCGTGATAAAAAATCGCGACCATGTCAACTGACAAACGCATGCCCCGAACGCAAAAGACATCGGGCGTCACAACATGATTAATTATGCATGAATAACCCAAAACCACCCAGCCAAACCCACTCCAGCCACCACCTCAGTCCTACCCAGTCCACCCACAGCACATCCGTAAGATAAATAGAAACATATGCTGCCTAGTCGAAGGCTTATGCGTCACTTGCTGTAAGCAGCTTCTGCTTTGTCCTTGCTCAAGGTGTAAACATAAAGGCTCAAATAACGGTCTCTACTATATAGTATATATGTGCATGAACCGTATGAATTGCTTATTTAAAGATGTCTTTAGTCAATTTATGGCAAACATGAATTCGAATCGAACAAGTCATAATTCTATTTAATTGCCTTTTCCAAACAACTGCAGAACTTGTCTTGCTTTTCAAAAATAAGTACCTAAGACTCAATGCAGATGCTAGTGTAGCTAAATACACAGAGAGAAATACAAAAATATAAATTAAATAATGGTGTGGAATTATTCTTTATTAATATTATTATTAAAGAAATAATTAATTTAAGATATATCAAAAAAATTATTTAAATATTTATTTAGATTAAATAATGCTCCTTAAAAACATTATCTTGGGTACACTCATATAACAGATAGATGAAGTCGTCAGGTAAAAAAATAAAATGATTCAATCTTATTGATAATGGAGCTATATCTATTACATTTCTTGTCCCTTTCTAATTATTAGCCAAGACTAAAAACAAACCCCAATTTTCGGTTATGTTGCGACATCAAGACAAATCAGCTCTGAAACCCTTCTAGTAAACTCCATTTCATTTAAGTTTTTATTTTTTATATCTGTATATCGCCGTAGAAATTTTACTGTATTTCTTGGTTACTTAACTCTGGTTTTCCGTGTAAATGTTTTAGTTGATTTGCAAGTTGAAAATATGATGGGAAACATTTTAAAAAGCTCGTTTTGTTATGTTGTTATAAAGTTAGAAGTGTTATTCATGAAAGGAAATCAAAATGACGTGCTCAGTTTAATCTCAACTTTATGCCGCATTACGCATTCTGCATAGGTACAAGAGATAAGACTTTCAAGTGTCCAAGTTCAGGTTACCTGCTTCACGGCTGTCAATATGTAGTATATAACAGCGCATTATCTAAGCAGCGAACGCTTCCAGAGCTTACTTTAAGTTGAAGTGAAAAACGTGCCGTGTCAAAAAAACAACAAGTAAGAGTGCTTTAGTCGGGAGTGCCCGACGGTGCATTCAGTTGATCAAGAGCATGCATACCCTATGGTGTGTTGCCGCGTCTCTCCCTGCCTGTTAGATACACTGTCATGAAACCATTATACACTCACATGCCATTTTCCATGGGTATTATAACAACAGTTTTTTCTGGCGCAACAAATTGCTGTTGCTCAAAGCGAAGCACATGCCAACCAGAATTTAACAACTGGCAACAGCAAAAGTTTTCATTGAATGCACTTACTCTGTAAAGGTGCAAGGCTGGGTATATCGACTTGGTGCAACTCCTTGATCAATTTCTAACTTTACTTCAGTGTAAACCAATACCACAAAAAATATTTACTATCTTAGAAAATCGGAGACAATCTCAAGCAGTTTGGCAACAGGAAAGCAAGGCACGTGTGTCAAGCGTGAGTGGTAAGCATTGCTGCCACAAAGTGGACACCATGTGCAACATTTGTTATTCATTGCATGGGAAGCTCATTGAAAAGGCAATGGAAGAAGCGAGGGAAGTACGACAAGTTGTGTTAATTAATTTACAACCTGATTCACTTCGTTCTCAGCAAGCAAATGTAAACAAAATTAATTGAAATATATGCCGTCAAATTTGCTAAAGCTGAACAAATGCGACCCATTGGAATTGTCCACATTAATCTTACAAAATAAGCAGATATTTACAGACATATATATATACATGTGTGTAAATGATATTTTAGAGTTAACAGAAGATTGTTGGTTAAGGCTAATTAATGTCACATCAATCAGCTAGAGAGCAAAGCTTGCTCGAGACTTTATTTTCATTTCACAAATTACTTGACTTCACGCAAATCCTTTGCACGTTGCGCATACGCCGCCTAAGCCCAATGGAAAAAATACAAATACAGCCCAGCAAACAGTAGCTAGCAATCTTTTATAAGAGTATAATTTGAAAATTTGCCCCTGGGGTAATATGTTTATGCCTGCCTTTTGTCCCTATTGTGTGCGAAGCTTCTCATTCATTGCCGCGCTTATTGTTTATGCCAACAGAGCCTATCTCTATCTCCCTCTCACTCGCGCCGTCTCCCTCTATCCGTTCCTCTCTCACTCTCTCTGTGTGTATTTTTATGACACCCTCAAGCAGATATGTATTTTGTGCTTTACCAAATTTGCACACAGCACAAATAAAACGAGGGCAGTATCTACATGCACCCAAATCATATTAAGTATACGCACAGCGCTTTTTTTTAATTGTATAGCAAATTCCTTATACAATCAATTTTGTTTTAATCTCTAAAATTCGGTATACTTTTGTTTGACTAAATTTTCATGCCGCACAAAATGTCTGAGTGAAAAACAAACGAGCGAGTGGGGTATAAAGTTGTTTTAGTCACTTTCTGGGCACAAATGTTTTATACATTTACTTTTAAAGAGCTTAAATTGAACGGATGAGCGCAGCTACTGTATAGTAGCATAATAATATTATGCAGGGCAGCATAAACTAAAATCAATAAATTTCTTAAGCTATAGAGAACGTCTTAAGACCCAAGCTCTTTAACTTGCAATTGTTGCCAAAGACGTTTGGCTTTTGTTTTTCTTCAATTTTCGTTTCAATAGGAAATCTTGATTGAGAAAACTTCAATTGAAATCGTATTTGAACAACTTTTGATTAGAATCAATTCCCATTTTGTTGAAAGCTTGACCAAAAAGTATTTTCAGCTCAAAGCACAACGTAAAACACATGAAAAAAGCCAAAAATATTCCTGTTCGAACAAAGTTTAAATTAAATCAAGTTGAGCTAGTTTAGCATATACATTTCAAATTGTTTAACTTTCAAATATTGGAAAAGTTTATTAACGTTTGGAATTTAATTTTTCTTCCACAATTTCTTTTCTTTTTTTGAAATTTTCTCTGACAATTTTTTTCTAGCGAAAAGTTTTTGGCAAATCAAACAGTAAGTTTGACAAAATATTTTACAAATTTATAGATAAAGAAGAAAAATAAAAATTTTAAATTTCAATTAAAATTCCACTGTTTCTATCAATTTGTAGAATATTTTGCCAAAATTACTGCTCGATTTGGCAAAAACTTTTCGCTTCACCTACGCCTAATCTAATCCATATCACGCACATGAGAAAGAAAAGCCTGGGAATCGTTGAGGTCCATTATTAATATTTAGTATCAAGTACATTTTGAGCGGGGCGGGACTCCAGATTACTGCTTGATAACAACCGAGTGCGATAAGCAGCTTTATTTCATTGCCGCGTCTCACGCGGCTCATTTGCAATATACAGGGAGAACAGAGAAACGCACGTGAGATCCGAAGCGTAATTGCCGTTCAACAAGTGCAATAATGAATGACGAAGGAGAAGCAGAAGAAGTTGGAAGCTGCCAAATTCTCCGTTGTCAACACATCACGCATTCGGATCGCATTTGTCTCAATCAATTAGGTTGCTGACAAATTTTATCCCAAGTCGTCACGTGCGCCCATTACCATTATGCACATTAAATATATATATATTAAACACAATGACTTTGATGACAGGCACAAGTGAGGCGAGGGGGCGTGGCATGGGAATAACGTAAAATTACAATCAAACTTTCTTGCGTTTGCTTAAGAGTGCGCATCAAATATGCCTAAAAGCGTATGGATTTAGCATAAGTCAAATCTACCCAAACACGCACAATGAACACACAACGCACACAGGCGCACAACCGCAGACACGCACATACGCCACACGGAAACAGTTAGTTGTTTGTCATTGTGCAGCTGTTGCCACTTTCAACTGCGTCGAGAGCGCTTAAAGCAAGCAGGAACCCACGGCAACCCTTGTTGAATTGTCAAACTTACTCAAGGCAAGGCATAAGCATTTATAAATATCTACACTTCAATTTCCCAATTTTATTGAGCAAAATACAAATTTTTAAGAAACTAACTAAGATTTAATTCAATTTTTTCTTAAAAACTAAGTATAAGATTCGATTTCTATCTGACTCAGGGAAAAATTGTTATTTCTAGGCTAGTTATACAACAGAACCTTACGATATCTGGGCACAACAGTTCCATTCAGTTCGACGATCGAATTCGTATTGCATCCATTAAATACAGAAGGACGCTGGTTCTCTGAGCTGTAAGGCCAATACTCCATCATGCGCCGATCCACTTCATGATCGGCGTTGCGGTGGTCTACTTTAATGGAATGCTAAGTTACCTAATGGGGAATAAGACTTTATAAATAATAAAATATTTGCCTATATTTCTTATACACTTTGTCGACCTTCAACTCAATAATGTTTTTAAATTTGAATTCCTGCTATAAATTTGGGATTTAGTTTATAAAAAAATAATAGAAAAAGACGCAGCTCGTTTCAGATTGATATCAAAACAGAAAAAACGTTTTTACTTTCTATGAAACTCGTTTGCAACAAAAGGCGACAAAAGCGCCGTATCAAACGAATTTCGCCTTTTGATCTTAACGCCACAGCCAGACTCGGTCTCAACAAAAAAACTGGGTAATGCCCAGAACAAAACAAACAAGCGAACAAAAGCAACAAAGTGCGTACAATGAACCGACCAGAAATTCCTAGGCAAAAAAAAAGAAACATTTAAGCATATTTCAATAAATGTTGCATATAAATTAATATTTAAATAAAATACTTTTTTTTTTCTAAATATTTATTTAGTGTTTAAATAATATTTTGTTTTGTTTGTTTACTTTCCATAATATTGGAATTTCCAGCCGGCGTCGCGCCGTGTTTGTTCTTTAGCGAAACCAGTTTGAAGCCGAGTTACTCGATCAAGTCGGAGCAGGGCGGGTAGATGGGTTTTGCGTAGTGGCTTGGGTAGAGTCTTGAGAGACTCGAATCTTTGGCACATTTGGCACAAGTAAAATTGCCATAAAAGCTGACAATTGAGATTAATTATCACCAAAGCCAGCTGATAGAAGTTTTGGTACATACTCATGAAACTTACAACGTTTGCAAAAGTCTCATGACTTCTTTGAATACACCCACAATGAGGATCTATCAAAGCGTGGTAAGGTCAGTTGGGATATATATGGTTGCAAACAATACAAAATAAATCGTGCTCCCAATAGCCATAGTGAAATCTGCAGTTCATAGAGCTACGAGGATCTATAGGTACTAAGTGTTTATAGTTAGCTTTGATAACCCGAGTCGCAAAAGTAGAGTAACTATTGAGCTACTAGGCATTTGAAGCTATAAATTCTGTGCAAGTTTCCTACTTACGAGCGAGTATCAAGCAGTCGCTTATACTGCACCCATTCTGACTTGATTTCTTTTATACATTTGAGTGTCGGGATTAAATACCGTAGCAGATGCCGCATATTTATGTTGTACAGGCGCTTAAATTAGTCGTAGCGTCTACAAAACCAGAAATCAATTTCTACACACAAAAAAAAAACAGGAAACGGGAGAATCGTCAACAGCTGAGAACTGAGAATTTAAACCGGGATGCTGTTGCGGCTTTCCATTCATGCTCGAGTTCTTCCAAATTCTTTCTTAATTTTTGTTTGGGTATAAATAGCGCCGGCTGTGCCTTGGTCAATTATACTCGAGGCAAACTTCAGCAGCAGCAGCAGCAGCAAGAAGCAGCTCAACACATCAACAAAAATGTCGAAATTATTTGCAATTGTTCTGGTATTCGCCACAATCTGCCTACTCTGGGCAACTGCCGCTCCCACACAGATACTGGATGCACAGACTGCTATAAATAAGATAATTGGTAAGTTACTATTCGCGTCAGAGAGTGCTCTTCCATAAGCCCTCATCTATCTCTGTTGCCTTGCAGCTGCCTACAACCGCATCCCGGGACCTTCGGTGGTTCATCCCTGGGAGGTGGCCACGCTCATCGATCCCAACACTTTTGTGCCTCGCAATTATTTCTAGGTCTGCCTGAAATGCCCCCTTGCGACCGCCGTCTGTTGTGTTTACTAGTCTGATAAGAAATTTATAAAACAAATAAATTAAAATACATTCAATAAATTTATGTAAAAATTAAAGAGTTAAAACTTTTTATTGATAGTCGAAACATGCTATAATTTTCCTAGCTCAAAAATAAGTTTTTTAACATCTGTTAGCCTATTATAAAACTGAATTTTATTTGTTAATTTTTTCTTTAGTTGTTGAATACGGTTTTGTATTATATGTTTGCATTTTTAATTTTTTTACTTCATTTACAACTAAATAAATCAATTTTCTGGTTATTAACATATGTAGGTATGAATACAAAGAGTATATTTACATACAGATATAATTAATTGAATATCCAAACCTATAAAACTATTAAAAAGTAAATAAAAAATATTTCAAAATAATTATCAATATTAAAAACATTTAACTTTGAACTGCTTTAAATTTCTTTAAACTTTTATTAAAATGATAAAAATTAAATAAAAATAATCTACTAACAGAAATAAAAAATAAATTGATTTGCTATAAATATATTTATATTTATAATTTAATGAAAGATCTTAACTTATTATTTATAAATATAGAAACAAAAAATGCAAAACACAAAAAAAATTCCATAAAATGGCAAAAAATAGTAATTTAGTATATGTGAGATTTCATTGCAATTAGTTTTGTCTAGAATTAAAAAAAAGCAGTTAAATTGTGAAAAGAAATTAAAAGCCTTAAACTTGTTTTACTTCTTAAGATCAAAGCTAAAGCGCACAGTGACGTATAATAAGCAGTTAAATATATTTAAATATATATTATTTTGTTTTTTATTTAGTATTTAGTATTTCACACTCATTTATAATTATAATGAGATTATCGCCAAGTGTCAAAAAATAATAAATATAAATATACATATATACGTCTATATTTTATTTAAAAAATGGTATGAAGTCTATTGAAATTTATGTATTTTTTAATTAACCAATTAAACACACACAATTAAACAGTCGATTGTTTAATCGCTTGGGTATTTCCTAACAAGTTCATGTAGTGAGAGAGAAAGAGAATTTGGAATTTATGTTTATTAAATAACATATGCAGATCATATGGAATAGCTCGATCTCATTAACACTAAAGCTTTTTACATTTTTTGCCCAGTTTTTGCTTCTAGTTTTTTACTTAAACCCGAATTTCATAAACATTGCGAAAATAATAAATCGATTTGCTGTCCAGATGTTTGCTTTGTTGCTGTCATTTTGCAGATTGTAATTGGCTCGTAATCCAATTAGTCTCTGTTACCTTCATTATTGCACGTTCAAAATAAATTGCTAATTAAACGAGTCGCCAAGGCGACCCACGCAGGATACAAACGCGCTTATACGCAAAAAGATAGATGTAGATATTGAGTTGCTAGCTCGTTTGTTTGCCAATTCAGCTATTGCTACGTCTCACTATGAACTTACTTGCTTGGCAAGAAGCTTATTAAATTCCTTTGAGTTTTGTTAAGCCCTGAAATTCCTTATCAAACTACCTTTGCGTTTTAAAGCCCTGAAAGGCTTCACGTATACGTGCAAACATTTGATCGCAAACATATTTGTCGTCACAATTTTTTGAGTTGCTGGCAAATTTGTATAAACATTGTGTGTGTATTCGTGCGGGCATGTGTGTGTGTGTATATCATCCCCTACCGCAGTTGCGCTACTTGAAAAGCGGATGCAAAATTTAAACTTTGGAATTTCGTAAAACTAAAATGATACCATCGCTATAGTTGGTCGCATATATATTAAAGGCATAAAGGCTTAAAGGCTGCGGCATACACTGAGTGAAAATTAGAATTTTGATATAGAAAAATATTTGTCTGTAAAAGATCAGTTTGTTTTAGTGTTCAAAACACTTTCGTTGTCCTATTAGAGCTCACAACATGTTGACTCTTGACTCGCATTCTTCAGGCTAACTCATTTTAAATTTTAGTTTCGATTTCCTTTTGTATTTTCTCTTTCGCTTTCGTCTTCTTCAATTCTTCAATTTTGGTTTTAAGTGTATAAAAGCTTTTTTATGTCTTAAAGCACATGCTCGAAAATCAGCCAAGCATGAACATAGAAAATACCAAAACGCTGCTATTGCATCAGTTTAAGGAAGAGACCCAAGCGAAGCCAATGTAAAAATAATCCTTAGTACATTTTTGGTACCTTGAATGACTGGAAGTAGATTAGTTTTGAAATCTGAAAGGTTCCCTGTCATCCCTACACTTAGAATGAAATTTAATTTGAGTTCATAAAGTTTTGTACCTCAAATAAGATATTCTTCTTCAATTAAGTTCATCAGTAAAGTATTTAAGTTGAGTAAAGGACTGGTACTTCTCCTTAATTATGCTTGATTCAGGCTCAAAGTGTCCTCATAAAAGCTTTAGAAAATCAATAAAAATTCTTCGCAGCTCAAGAACCCACAAAGTTTTATCTCTATTTACTTATTTACTCTGCCTTTTCTCTAAGTGCACTTGTGTGACATATGCAGCTCACATACTTGTTTCAGCTGGCTGAGAAGGCAACTCTCTGAATGCACACAAATTGAGCATGAGCAACTTTTGTGAACAATATTAAAGTTTGACTGGCCAAGTGGATAGAAATGCGCTTTAGTGTGATTCAAAATGACAGATAAAAGATTCAATGGCTCAAGCTCAACTATCGTCATCATTTTCTCTGAAGTCATGAAGAATGTATACACAGAACTCGAACTCGCGTCAAAGTCAACTAGCTGCACAATTACCACTGTAGTGGGGGCACTGCTGATAGCTGACTATCAAAAAGAGAATATTTATGGCTGAAAGCAATAAAAAGATTTTGCTGCTTGAACATATTGAAATTGACGATTCCCGGCCACATGCTCGCAGGCCCCTTTAGGGTCCATATGGTGGCACGTGTACGCATATCGAAAGAGCTGTTAGCTGTTAGCTGTTAGCCAATGCAATTTATGACTCTTGCAGTTACATGCAACAGCAGCAGCCACAGCAACAGCAAACAAATTGACGCAAATCGAAACAAAGTAGCTGTCACCTGTTCGATATGGCAAGGTTAAGCTATGCTCGCCCTGACAAATGAATGAATATCAACGAAAGTGATTAGTCCACAGCACTAGACATGAGAGACAAGGACTCAAATAGAAAATGATGTGAATCAAAGAAGGGATTAAACGAAAAAACCTTTAGCACTCCACTTTGGAGTGCCTAACTACGCCTTTTTCTTATTGAAAACATTCCCAATTAAAGGCCTTTTGAATGAAGCAACCATTAAGGCATTTCTCGAAGTCTAAGCGTATATTGATAGCATAATAAAGACTAATTGATTAGGCTAAATTAATAGCCTCAATAGAGGCAATCCATGACAACAGAGTCAGGTCGAGAAGCTAAGTGCACAGCTAACTGAAATAGATCTACTCAAGGTTTGATTAGTCTGTTTACAGTATTTGTTATTGGACAGAAGTGTCATTAAATTTACTTGGGCATTTTAGCTCTAGTTGTGCCAATAGTTGCTTTAACGACTTTCGCGACTCTCATTTTGCGTTTTTTATGGCTCGCCCACATGTTGTAAACCGGCTCTAAATATTTGCCAACCAGAATCGCTCAGAAAATCACAAATGGAATGTTGTACCCCAAAAATAAAGTCGAAGCCAAACAAACAAATAAAACAAATTTCTTCACATGCGCCGAGCGTATAAATTTGTTAACAGTTCTTAATAACAATACAAAAACCAAACAAAAAAGTAGAAAGATGTTTATCTCTTTAAATTTGCATTGCAAATATATATTTATATATATATGCATGTATATATGGCTCGGCTTACCTGTGGCTCGTGTTATCTTCTTTTCACTATCTGAACGACGGCTTTAATTATGCAAATTGTTGGCGCCAGCAAAGAGTGCTAAAAAAACAGAACATAAACAGCGAATACAAATTCTGACATTAACAAATTGAACCGTTAAAAATCAAATGACAAATTACAATAAAATCGAAACTCAACAAACAATCAGATAAGAGCTTATTGCGACTTTAAGCTCTGCGGCTGACAAACATTTTAATAGACTTTGTCATATCTTAGAGCAAAGATGACTTTCTGAGCTTGAGTAATGCAAAGTATTATGGATTAGATACATACCTGAGACATGACTACAGGAGTCTTAGAATTACAAATTATTATAACAGTTCCGATACCTACATTAGGCGTGACTACAGGGTATATAGTAAGTACAGGATATCATCAAGCAGAGCTTCCACATAATCATAAATACAGCGTACTATTATTATATACTACATGGTATATATTTTGCTGTAACACTATATAATCATGTTGCAAGCTCTGCGGTCTTTTATCTGTAAAGTTTTTCTCCTCAATTACGATTTAATTTAATATTCTTTGATATCATACAGAATATTTAATTAGTTTTAACGTGATTAATTCATTTGCTTTCATTTAATTGAAATTTGTATCGAATTAATATTCACATATAAAATTCACATAGCTTACAAGGTTGATCTGGTTGAGTTTGATCGACTAGAGGATGCCCTCTTATCAACAAGCCCTATTTACAGCATAGATCGATATTAATCGAATTATAATCTATCGATAGCTTGAGGGGTTTGTTACTGTGGTTCATTTTAATCAACTTTAAGATACCTTCATATCAGCTACAGGATAAGTTCGGTATGTAGAACTCTGCAAAGCGATATTTATCGAATAAAATCTATCGATTACCTGAGGGCTACTAAGTATGCTGCTCATTTACATACACTCAGCTAAAAACTGACTGCTTGCATAGTCTGCACATTGTTTTAAAATCGACATATATTTATCGATAACTTAATACGCCGCCTGTCAGAGACTTTCTCCTTTCTGCCTTTCTCTTCCTTTCTCTCTTTCTATCCGACTATTAAAAATTGTTTATTCTTTATCATATAATCGATATTTATCGAAATGTACGCATCTATAGTTAAGGTAGCTGGAAGTTTATATATATTATTTAATTTTCCTCTCCTTCTGTTAGTAGGCACAACGTAATTGTAGCCTATACATACTATAAACTTTCACAAATAGGAAAACACAATCTAATATTCGAGATGTACACAAGTAAAACCCTGAAGCTCAGCTTACCCACACTCGTCTGCTGTTTGCTTAATACGAAAATATGATACGCGTTAAATCGAGTCGAAAGCCAAACACAAACTGTGTGCATTTGTATGTAATTTACCTAAGTGATGATTTAGTCTTTGTAAACAGAAAAAGTAAACCTGATTAATTTTGCAAATTTGCAAATAAAACTTTGCCTCTAACCTTTTAGATGCGAAGTCAATGCTAAGAACTGATAATAAAATTACCACCCGAAAAGTATGCAACAAGAAGTTATTCAACGAATAGTAAGTGTGAGAGTGTATGTATGTGTGAGAGAGATTAACACTCGGCGTATGTTTAATATTCAAGTTCTTCAAGCTATAAGCGTTTGTATTAAGTTTGCTAATGGAAAAGTTGGCACCCATTACAGCAAGCAGCAAAATATCGAGAAAAAAATTGATGTAAGCAAAAAGGATACAAAACAGGATGACTGTGTCGGCGTGTTTGTGTGTGTGTATGTGTGCACGGTACATTGGTTTTCATTTCACTTAAGCCCGGTTGTATGTTGCTGGCAACCCTTGCAGCTACAGCATTTTATGGCATCTTCGGAAGAGCTTTTCCTCTTCTTTTTTCCGCTATTTGATTCGAATGTCTGATGAAATACTTTCTAGTCTAGTTGAGCTCCATAAAATAGCTCGGTTCGGCAGCTGACCTTTGACGTTACTTATGTTAAGTCCACTGCCCATCAGCCTTCGCATCGACATCGACATTGTCAGCCTCAATGTCAGCGTCAGCACAATGACACAGCCTCATCCACGGTTTATGATTGACGCCCCATCGAAAGCCTAAGCAGCGAAAAACATACTACATCCTACACTGACAAAAATTAATGGGTTCGCTATGAATCCTATATGCAAATTGATTATTGTCATTGTTATTGTCATTGAAGTCACTTATGTTAAGTCCTGTGAAATTGATAAAAAATATGACAATGACAATGACAATGACAATGACAATGACAATGACAATGACAATGACAATGACAATGACAATGACAATGACAATGACAATGACAATGACAATGACAATGACAATGACAATGACAATGACAATGACAATGACAATGACAATGACAATGACAATGACAATGACAATGACAATGACAATGACAATGACAATGACAATGACAATGACAATGACAATGACAATGACAATGACAATGACAATGACAATGACAATGACAATGACAATGACAATGACAATGACAATGACAATGACAATGACAATGACAATGACAATGACAATGACAATGACAATGACAATGACAATGACAATGACAATGACAATGACAATGACAATGACAATGACAATGACAATGACAATGACAATGACAATGACAATGACAATGACAATGACAATGACAATGACAATGACAATGACAATGACAATGACAATGACAATGACAATGACAATGACAATGACAATGACAAGACAATGACAATGACAATGACAATGACAATGACAATGACAATGACAATGACAATGACAATGACAATGACAATGACAATTGACAATGACAATGACAATGACAATGACAATGACAATGACAATGACAATGACAATGACAATGACAATGACAATGACAATGACAATGACAATGACAATGACAATGACAATGACAATGACAATGACAATGACAATGACAATGACAATGACAATGACAATGACAATGACAATGACAATGACAATGACAATGACAATGACAATGACAATGACAATGACAATGACAATGACAATGACAATGACAATGACAATGACAATGACAATGACAATGACAATGACAATGGCCTTCACTATGCCTATGTTTACTTCTATGACTTTGATAATGATAGTGGGTTTTCCATTAAATTGAGCAGGAGCTTTTCTCTGAGTGTACTCAAGTAATTGTGAGTACATAAAAACCAAAAGCATTACAATTATACGCAGCTTATACCCAGATAATGGTAGCAGAGCTCTCTCACACACACATATAAAAAACGTTCTGAACTGAGATGAACTGAGCTTTAGAAGAATCTTGGCTTAAGTAGCTCATTGTTGCCATAATGCACGAGCAGCAGTTAGCACTTGTCTGCTGCACGGCCATGGCCCAGACATTATTATTGGCAATATTATTAGAAGCGCTAAGGCGACGTCTTATTAACATAATCACATCATATTTGGATCTAGATATTGTTGACTCAACAACAACAGCAACAGCCAGCAGTGTGAGCCGCTCGAGGTCAGGCATCACTGTGCATAACTCATTATTCATTTGGCTAACAACAAGGACTCGCAACGTTTCAAGTCCGTAGCGACGATGTTTGCACGCGCATGCAAATCGTGCCCTATGCTAACAACTATGGCTTACCCTTGAACTAGGAAGTGTGCAACATATGAATAGCAGTTTCAATACTATAGCTCGATATAGCTCGTTTTTCAATTGCCATATTGAGTAACTAGAAATCGATAAATATCGAATCTGTGTTGATAGCGGTGTCGCTTTGCTTATTGCGAGTGATTTCGCTTATACTTATCTCTTATTTAACATTTTTATACAACATTTTTCCGTTTTAAATCAGAGAGAAATCTCTCCGACGAATTGATATTTTTCCGATTTGTGTTTTTATTGTCACTGCTTCAGCTCACATTTCATATAAATGGGCAAGCACTCAGTCGGAAGCGCAGGCTCGATTTGAGCGAAATTGAAACAGATGTCTGTGGCTCGACTCTTTGCTGTAAACATTAAGTATACGCACAGTCGGTTGGTTGGCAGAGCAACAAATACATAAGCAAAAAATACATAATTTCAAGGCTTGGTATGTATGTTAATGCTTCAAGTGTTGCAAAACAACTCCATCAACTACAAAGGATTTTGACAGAACTTTATTCCTTAGATTTTGCTGCTCTTCAATAACTTAACTTAAGGGCTAAAGGTGTGGGGCAAGCTGTGCCTGTGGATCTAAATAGCGCAAAAATTTGTACCCAAATTGGTGTGTCAGTAAATGTGTGGTATCTGTGTGAATTTTGAATAATAACGCAGAGAGGGGATTACGCACATACACAACACACAGCAACACACGCATACACATACACAATCTGTGATGAAAGCAATTCTTTTTTTTCAATTGGTGATTCGTTTTTGTTTTCCTTACTCCACATACCCAGCACAAACAAACTGTGATAAGCGGGTCATTGTGATAAAATAAGTCAACTTATCATAAATTACGATTGGATGGGGCCCAACAAATATCTCAATCCATAATTCTTAGGATAAAATATTATATTTTTTTGACAAATGGGTCACTAAGCGATAACAATCGATTGCCAGGATATTCAAAGAATATTTGGAAGCTCTCTAATTTGAAAAACAGGGTATCTGTTAGTACATACTCTGGCAAGCTTGGGCTTATTGTTTGACACAAGCAAAAATACTGTGGGTGTGTCACGCTGACTCGCATTTGGTGTCAAAACAAAGGAAACCGCAGAGCGAATGCCATTGGCTTATAAGTCGCAGGGCTTCTGTGCAGCGGGCACGTTGTCCTGGTGATGTTCCGACGTTGTCCTGGCGTCACTATGACCCGTCAGCTGGACATGTATCATTAAACATGTGCAGCGACAGGAGAGCATATATCATATTTCCTTATTTTTTCAATTCTTTTTTTTTCGTTTCAGCATTTTGATTTACTAGTTACCCAGTTTGGTATATTTCTTTTGAACCCATTTATCAAGGGGCGCATGACACAGGAGACAACATATATAGCCTTTAGCCCCAGCTT